AATTATCACCTTCCGAGAGGAACAAGGCTAAGCAGCTATTATGGAAGTATGCCTCTACCTTTGCGTTGACAAAAGAGCACCAAGGAAGAACATCAGTGGTGAAGCATGAAATCAATACAGCAGACGCGCGACCCATTAAACAGCCTCCAAGAAGTGTTCCCCTGGCCAAAAGAGACGAGGTCCAGAAGCTGATAAGTGAAATGGAAAAGAGTGGTGTAATAGAACCATCGTCAAGTCCATGGTGCTCCCCAGTGGTCTTGGTCAAGAAGAAAGACGGAAGCACCCGGTTTTGTGTGGACTACCGAAAGTTAAATGATGTCACCAAGAAAGACAGCTATCCGCTCCCAAGAATCGACGACACATTGGACACATTAGCCGGGACGTCATGGTTCTCCACCCTCGACCTGCAGAGTGGGTACTGGCAAGTAGAGATCGCCGAGAAAGATAAGGAGAAAACAGCGTTTGGCGTTAATGGGGGTCTCTGGCAGTTCAATGTCATGCCATTCGGACTCTGCAACGCCCCGGCTACATTTGAAAGGCTGATGGAGCGTGTGTTAAAAGGGCTGCAGTGGAAGTCATGCCTCATATACCTGGATGACATCATAGTCATGGGACGCAACTTCGACGAACACATCAAGAATTTAAAGGACGTTCTTCAGCAGCTTTCGTCTTCAGGCCTCAAGCTGAACCCAAAGAAGTGCAGTCTCTTCCAACGAGAGGTGAAGTTCCTGGGGCATCACGTGACGCCGGAGGGCATATCGACGGATAAGGAGAAAATTCAAGCCGTCAGAGATTGGCCGCAGCCCCGAAATCTCCATGAGCTGCGAAGCTTTCTGGGTCTCTGCACCTACTACCGTCGATTTGTCCCAAATTTTGCCAACATCGCCGCCTGTCTACACCGCTTAACGCAAAAAGGCCAGAGGTTCCAGTGGGGCAACGACCAAGAAGAGGCGTTCAGTAAACTCAAAGACATGCTATGCAGAGCCCCCATTTTGGCATACCCTATACCTGGCGGAAAGTTTGCTCTGGACACAGACGCAAGTGCGTGCGGCATCGGTGGCGTCCTTTCCCAGGAAATCGACGGACAGGAAAAAGTCATCGGGTACTACAGCCGGACATTGTCGAAGCCTGAGAGGAATTACTGTGTGACGAGGAGAGAGCTGCTTGCTGCCCTTGAGAGCGTTAAACACTTCCACAAATACCTATATGGCCAGCATTTCCTGCTGAGGACCGACCACGCTGCTCTCCAATGGTTGCTGCGGTTTAAGAATCCGGAAGGTCAACTAGCCCGTTGGATCGAGAGGCTCCAGAGTTATGATTTCAGAATCGAGCACAGAAAAGGCGGAAAACACGGTAATGCTGATGCCCTGTCTCGTCGGCCATGCAAGGTGGAATGCAGGCATTGCTCAAAGGCTGAGAATAAGGAGAATATCGTTGATGTCCGACTATTGCAGTTTGAGTCGGGTGAAGATTGGTCGACGGAACAACGAAGAGATCCCATTCTGGGCAAAGTAATTTCGGCCATTGAAACGGGCAAGCGACCTAGTCGTAAAGAAATTACCTCCGAAAGCCCTCTTTTAAAATCCTATTGGGCCCAGTGGGACAGTCTACTTATAAAAGATGGCTGCCTATATCGCAAATGGGAAAGTGAGGACGGTAAATCTCACCGGAACTTGATCGTCGTCCCAGACTCCAAAATAAGAGATGTCTTGTCGGAGTTTCACGATGGGCCAAGTGGAGGACATCTTGGCATAGCAAAGACCGCTGAAAAGGTAAAGCAGAGATTCTACTGGGTCGGCTGTCAAAAATCCATTGCCGACTGGATCGCCAATTGTGAAAGGTGCATAAAAGCTAAAGGTCCAACACGGAAGAGTCGAGGCTACATGCAGCAGTATAATTCAGGAGCCCCTTTTGAAAGAATCGCAATGGATGTAGCTGGACCGTTCCCCACAAGCGACTCTGGGAACCGGTATGTCTTAGTGGTCATGGATTACTTCAGTAAATGGCCGGAGGTTTATGCTATCCCAAATCAAGAAGCCAGGACAATTGTGGATGTGTTCAGCAAAAATTGGATTTGTCGCTATGGTGTTCCATCTGAGGTTCATTCCGATCAAGGTAGGAATTTTGAATCAGCGATCTTCAAGGAAATGTGTGACTCCTACGGAATTAAGAAAACCAGAACGACGCCCCTACATCCACAATCAGATGGCATGGTGGAAAGATTCAATCGCACCCTTGAAGAACATCTACGGAAAGTGGTGGACAGTGGCCAACGAGACTGGGATGAGCATATTCCAAAGTTTTTATTGGCTTATAGATCGGCCATTCATGATTCCACATCCCGGACCCCAGCCAAAGTTCTGTTCGGAAATGAATTAAAGCTACCTGGCGATTTGATATTCGGCGCTACCCCAAACGACGATGTGAACCAAGATGAAGACAGCCAAAACTCTTTTAGTAAAGTCCACGATGCAGTCCGACATCGAATAAAAATGGTTAGCAACCGCATGAAGGCAAGGTACGATCGAGCGGCAAATACCGATGGGTTTCAAGAAGGGCAACTGGTACTATTGTTCAACCCACAACGAAAGAAAGGACTATGCCCCAAATTGCAAACGCACTGGGAAGGACCCTACAAGATTGTCACGAAAATAAATGACGTCGTTTATCGCATCCAGAGGAGCGACAGTCCCAGGTCGAAGATGAAAGTTGTACATTTGGAGCGGCTGACCCCCTACGGAACGGGAACTGTGCCTATTCGGGACGAACAGGCTTAAGCGGGGGGCAATGTTACGAATATAACTTTAGATTTAAGTTAATTTAGATGAATTCCGTTAATTTAAGAATTTGAATTGTAACGTAAATTTCTACTACGCAGTTTATTTGAATAACTTCACAACAACAACCACTGTATAGATTTTTCTACATCCTTCCATTTCCTCTTTCATTTTCTATTTTGTTATTGTCGTACAATTCTTGTTAAACGTCATTCCTCTTTCTTTGTTATTCCCTCGCCTGTATATGTGTTGTTGTTATTCCTCTTTCTTTGTTATTCCCTCGCCTGTATATGTGTTGTTGTTATTGTAAGTTTGTTTACTCAAGTTTGTTGTTGTTATTGTTCACTCAGTAAGTTTGTTGTTGTTATTGTTACTCAATGTGTTTGTTGCATTGGTAGATTGTTCGTGATCTAGGTGTTACCAGATCGTCTAGAAACTTCTGTAGCGACAGGCAGGGCTCATATAAATAGAGGGAATGGAAAGGCAGTGAGTCAGTTGTGAATCAGATCGCGAATTGAAACCGTCGTGTAAAGTAAAGTGCAAAGTAAAGTTGTGTGAATAAAATCATTATAATAATCGTAATCAGAAAGAACCCGCGTTTTATTTGGTACGAATTGTATCGGGAAATAAAACAACGTCTACACGGGATTTAGTAAAACCCAAGAACGTAACAATATGTAATTCCGTATGTGTGTCAAAATTAGCAGTGTACACAAAACATTTATTTTTGTGTTCAAATCGGCATATGTATTTTACATATGACATAACCTATAAACAAAATAACACTTTTATTTTTTCTTAAATCAACATCATTTTTTTATTAAACACCTACAAACGAAATAATAATTTGTAATTGTTGCCTTTTCATCCTTTTTTTTTGAATTGCAATTGAAATATTTTCTTCCAACAATGTGTTTCATTCAAACAGCTGATTTCCTTATGTTTCACATACGAAAATAGAGCGCGTCCTATTCGGAAAAAAATACATATGTAATTGCATATCGTTTTGACACATTGAAATTTCCGTATTTTTCACATGACGAGTTCGATTTCCATATATAAAAAAGTGACAGCACATATGTAAAATACATATCGTGTAGAAACACCATTAGGTGTTTCCTGATCAAAAGAAATCCCCTATCACTGATTTTAATCGGGTCTTGGTCGACGTATAGTTGGCAAAAACAAATAACCTTTCGGCACGCCTTCCTATCCACGGCCACTTTTGATTTTTAATTTTTAGACTTGTCTTCGGTGGTTAATTGCAGTGGAGGTACCTCACGGCTAATAGAAAATTGCCGTTGTAGAGTCTCGAGCTTCCTTACTCGAGGGGTCCGCATCCTTCCGTTTCATATCTCACGACCCCATCTGACTTGGTGGTGAGACTATAGTCTCATATTCTCTCAGAAGGATTTCCTGACTCGGGATGAAGAGTCTGCTCTTGTAGCATGTGATACTGAAGGTACCAAAGCAACCACAACTGTTTAAGTCGAATATCTTTGTTTTTATGGGGGTTTTTTATTTCAGATCACTGGTTTCATACGTCATTGTTTTTTGGAGGACGGTGGCATAGCCTCCATATATATATATAAATATATTTGCTGATCTTCCCACTATCCGCAACCTGTGGAACCCAGAATTCCGTAAACGAATTATAAAAACCGTTTTAAACACGACTTATGTTGTGGATTTATATCAGTGATAGACGGAATGTGGTTTCGTATATTACATAATTATTGTCCATGATGCAATAAATAATTGTTGTATCAAAAAAATCTCTTTTTCATTCGACCATCTAAATTTTAATAATATTTCTCAATGTTCTCAAATGCACTTTGACAGTTAATCGAATTATTGCGCCATAATCTCAACCCTGTCTAAACACTGAAAATGTAAACAATCATTTGTATTCTATTTATCTCACCTAGTGTTCCCTATATAGGCAACTGGTGAAAAAATGCTGCCAATTCTATGTAGTGGAGAGAAACATGTGTAGAAAATATCATTAATTGCGCGCCATCAGTTGACAGTTCTTGAGCACAACAAACAAAAACATTGCAAAATATTATTAAACAAGCCGTGTATTCCGATTGTAAACAAATTATCGTGTGTGTTTTTTATTAAATAAAACGTGTTAAATAATAAATACTTCAAATAAACAACTCAGTTTCTATCAATTTGTGTTGACATTAAAAAAATAATAATAAAGTAGTAGTGAACAAAATGGAATCCGAATTGAAACAAGAATTTGATAATATGGGAATTGAGCCCAGCCAAGAAGTTCTGTTTAGATGTAAGTTAATACCTTATTTATTTAATAAATTATGAACTAATTAATTATTTCACATTTCAGCTGTTGATTTGTGCTCCACTTACAATATTGAAGATGCCGCCGAATTTGTTGAACAATGGGTGGCATTTAGCATTTCCAATTTGAATGGTGCCGAACCATCGCTTGAGCATCTAAATGAATTTGAACGTAAAGTGTTTCAGGCCAAACGTGATAAAGAATTAATGGCCGCCAATAAGAAAAAAGGTGGTAAATTTCCATCGGCCATATCCAATTTAACCCACTTAAATGATATTGCATCGAGCAGTAGTAATCCGTTGGCTATGTACGGTGTCGATGATAGTGATGTTATGGATGAATATATGCAGGATAGCGGTATGACTAGTGCAATGATCGATGATGTTGATAGTATGCCGGGAACACCGAGTGTGCTACATACCCCTAAGGTAAGTTTGGAATCCACGTTTTTTGTAGTCATAATGATATTGTGTTTATTTCACCATGATCTAATTGGAATAGATAAAGCATATTTTAATTGTTAACTGGGAAACGTGATTGGGGTGGTTTTCTTATTAGATCTATGATCATAAAGTATATAGGGGAGAGGGGGCACCTTTGAACACTTTTTGCTTTCAAGCCTTATAAAATTTTTTATTTTATAATTTTTGGTTTCTTATAAATTTTAACTAATAGGTACATATGTAACCTTTAAAATGAATATACATATGACATACTATAAGCTTGATAAATATATTTTATTACTGTTTTAATGGACGAACTCAAAGTGTTCAAAACTGCCCCCCCAGGGGGGCAGCTTTTAACAGGGGTTGGCATTTTTGAACGACATGGTTTTTTTACAGTGTTTATGTTCAAATATGTATGTATTTTATTCATACATATCAGAAATGCATTAATTCATTAAAAAATATATAAAAAATTTTCGATATTTAAAAAATTTAGATCAAAAGTTATTAAACATAAAATGACTTAAAAACAAAAATTAATATGGTGAAAAATACAGTTAATTTCGTAATCTTATTTGCCCATTTGAAATTTTGATAAATCGAAGCGAAAAGTTAAAAAAATCATTTTTTTTTACCCGAGTTTAATGGGCATGTTCAAAGGTGCCCCACCCATGGCATTTTACGGAAATTTAAAATAACTTTTTTTGTAATAAATATATATGAAAGAAATTACATTAGTTATGTTTGAAATGATTTTTGGAATGCAAAAAATTTGCTTAGCGAAGGAAAAAAATCACAGAATTCTTCCTGCGCCCTTTCAACCAAATGAATAAAAGTTTACAATGACACTTAGAAAACATGGTCACCCATGCACAATTTTTCGACAACTGAAAAATCAAGTCAAAGTGGTTTACGCATATAGAGAACAAGATTGCCATATACAAAAATGTGGTTGCGGGTCGGAAAAATATTAAACCAAGATTTTATGAGCGCTGTTCAAAGGTGCCCCACGTTCAAAGGTGCCCCCCTCTCCCCTATATTTTTTTAAATATTTTAATCCGACACAATTGACCATTTGATACTTATAACGACTTCCAACGATTTAGATGTTCATACAAATGTATGATACTATCATTGATACTCCTTTCGATATTTCCGATCGTCTACACTATAGTTCTCCGCCTTCTGGTACGCCAGTCTCCATATAACATTACTGCTTCGGTATAACATACGCCTTTTCGGTATTTTTAAGTTCTTTTTAACAGCATTTTCCGAACAAAATGGCTGTAATTTAGAATCCTGTATTTTGAAAGGTGATAAACATCATTGCAGGGAAATGTAAATATTGGCCTTTGATTTGACTTAGCCTACATTTCTATATGTAGGCCCACTTGGATATGTGTCCTGCCCACTTTTTGAAGCGAAAGAGATTTTATTTGGCATTCCGAGTTCTTGGTCATTTGCCATTCCGTTTGGTACACCTCGTAATATTAAGCTGAGACCCCATAAAGTATTCTTGAGCAGAATAACGTTCAATGTCTATTAAGCCATGTCCGTATGTAATTCTTTCCTAAAAAACTTGCAATACTGACATTTTGCAAATACATTACTATTACTCCTAGGATGTTTGGTTTAGAAAAATAACGGTACCTCCAATATTCGGCTTTTTGAGACACATTTTTCTAAATTCATATCGCTGGCTTGTAAAGGCAATAAATCCCTTTTTCAGGAGAAATAAAACCATCAAACTTTTTTTGAATAAAAATATTTTAAATCTGTAAATGCAAATTGTTTTTGTATTTTATTTGCGTGAAGACAGAAGGAACAAAATAAGTATTTTCGGAGGTACACGGCTTTTTTTGGGATTTAGAGCCTTTTCTTTTATCTCTTATTATATTTTTTAATTACACTTGTTGATTTTTTACATGCTAATTTTATTTAAAAGAGTAAAATTTTTGTTGGAATCATAATTTATTCAAAAATATCAACAAAAACAAGTAAAAACATCTTTAAGTTCTCCTGAGACGGACTTTTTATATCCCCACCATGTCACAGTCAAATACTTAAAATCGATCGGCACTATTATATGGTTGTTATGCCATGATAAATTGCTGCCAAAAGAAAATGAAATATCAAACTACAATCTATTAGAAATTTGGGCTAAGACCTTGTACATACCAAAATCCGCAAATTGGCAGTACAGTTCAAATATAAAGAATTTATCTGGTCCTCTATTTCCTATAACAAAAATTCTGGGCCAGATGTAGTTACAGTCGGTGGGTTTTTAATTTTGTATTTATTTTATAAGCCGAAAAGTATTATTAAATAGAAAACTCCAATGACAGGTAATGCGAATTGCTAAAAAAAGAGGGGACTAGATCCAAACATGGGTTTGAAATAAAGCTAGGGCCTTTATTTTATAATATTGGCCCATATATTATTGCTTCCTTTGTTACCCAAGATGCAATTCACAACATGCTTTTTAACTTACTGGTCCACATTACCCGCTAAGTTATTTTTTCACAGTTGAGAGGTATTTTTAAATTAAAAAAATAGTACCTTTATTCTCTTATTCTCTGGTCGCAAAAGAAATCTATCTCTATACTAAATATGGTACAATTTATTACCTGTTGTACTCTTGTAGTACTTTTTCCCAAAACGAATTCCAAATTTCATGATTCGAGCTCTATAGGTTCACTCAAATCGAAATTTTACCAAATTTAGTACCATTTTGTGCACATTTATATAAATTTCCATAACTACATACCTCAACAATCCAACAGAAATCATATTTCTCTATTCCATTTCTATCGGTTCACCAGATCCAAATTGTACCAACTAATATAAATTTTATTTCCCAATTTAAGGATTGGTTCAACCAAATCCAAATTATACCAAATTTAGTACCATTCTGTACAAAATTTACCACAATTCTACACCCCAACAGTAATCTTAATTCCAAATTTCATAATTCGAGATCTATATAGGTTCACTCAAATCAAAATTTTACAAAATTTATATTTGGTTGGGGAAAAAGAAATCCATTATTTTTTCGGCAGATGACTGTACTGATAGACTTCTCGTAAAGTATCGATCAAACAATTTCAAATGTATGCTCGTTGGGTGACATTTCGCAGTAAAAAAAAAAAAATATTTTGCTGTTGTTGTTGTTGTTTGGTGCATTCAGTTGTGAGTTACAGGGTGTTAAAAATCGAAGTGAACAAAGAGAAAATTCGGTACATTTTACAGTTTTTCTTTGACAAAGGCGAAAATGCAAGCCAAGCAGATAAAATTGTGAATGATGTTTATGCTCCCGATACTGTAATCCTCTAGAGAGGATTGTGAAAATCTACTACTAAAGTTTTTTGCAAATAGAGAGCAGGACTTCTATGAGAGAGGGATTATGAAGTTATCAAGTTGCCTATCGAGCAGGTTTGAATAGCATTCATACTGATGCAGTAGCCGCAGGTCTGTAATATTACACTTTTTTAAGAATATTTAAAATTTTCCAATTATGATTTCTTAAAATTCCATCATTTTAGGTATATTATGTCTTCGGCAATATTACTGATAAAATATCGGGGTGTACAATTTTAAGCCTCAAACGAATTTTCCCACAAGAGATTGTTTTAGAAGGAGTAATATATAATGTATATACCGAATATATAGTCATACACATGGTACAATAATACAAGGTAGGAAAGCTTGAGTTGAATAACAAAAAACTATGCGCTATGCACGTGTGGCTTCTTCTGCCAAAAATAAAATAAATATAAGCAACAAGTATTTGTGTTTATTAGACATTTTTCAACACAAAACTAGAAACGCGAAAAATGAATGAAAGGTTATGATTTCTTCCCAAAATCCAGTAGGGAATACCATCAAATGTTTGTTTCATCCATAACAAAGTAATTACTTCCAGACGAACGTGTTAAAAACTTTATTTTCATTTCAATTAAACTTGAATAGAGTAACTTCGGGTAATGTGGACCACCATTTTCTTTTTTTGATATTGTGGGCGTAACAAAGGTAAAAAATAAAAACAAATTGTTTTCACAGCATGGTAGATTTGTTGGCTAATTATATTCTAGGTCAAAAATTATATATATTTGTCCATAAAAATGTTATTGCATTATATTTCAAAAAACTCTAAACTGCAAATAAAAATAACTTGGTGGGTAATGTGGACCAGTATGTGTGGGTAATGAGGATCAGTAAGTTAAAGGTAGGTTGTGGATTAATTGTGATAAATTTCAATTTATTGCACTCTTGGGTAACAATGAATGCAAAAATATATGGGCCCATGTTTTGGAATAGCCCCCATTTAAGGGTATCACCCCATTTGCGGTATTTTGAAGGTCCTTGCTTCATTATCCAACCGAGGCACCTATAATTTCGGATATCGAGTTTTCAGAGGATAGAATACCTCCTCGCATATTAAATGCGCCCTTGTTTCGAACTCGTCCTCATGAAAATGTCCCACTTTTTTATAGTGGTCCACATTACCCCACATTGAATATTTTTATTTAAAAATAATTATCGGCTTCAAAAATGAATAAAAATTTAAAAATAACGAAAAGTAATTACAGATAAACATGTATTTTTGTTAAAGAAAACAAGAAAACCACATAACCTCTTTATATTCGAGAAAAACAAAATGTTCGACTATTTTACAAAATCGTTCGACTATTGTGCTAAAAAATTTTCAAATCACACTTTTACAATCAGAGCTACATTTTCACCTACTAAATTTTCAACATTGCAATTATTTATTAAAAACCAAGTTTGATGTTTGTTCTCACTAATTAGGAAAACATATATCAAGGCGGCATTGGCATATTTCAAGCATTTTCTTAGATATGGGGGGTGGTCCACATTTGACGCATGGTCCACATTACCAGAAGTTACTCTAGATTTCCATTTATTTTGAATTTATTTGACATTGTATTCAAAACAATACACAAAATATCGTCAGCTAAAATGCAAAAGGGCGTAAGTAACAAAAAGTTGAAAATCGACTTTTTGAATGAATATTGTGAATGTCAATAAACTACATGTGTTGACAAAGTTTTACACGTCTGCGGTCAAAAA